TTTCAATTTTTTTGCTTTTCATTTTGAGCTCACTTCATAATATATCAAAAAGTTTTTGGGTGTGACATTTGAGAGTAACAAATATTTCATCGATAAATAATGATATCACCAAATGTGAATACAAATGATGAAATGGTCACAATAACATCTCAATACAATGAAATCAGTTAACAGTTAATAACAAAACAAGTGATTTGGATGAATGTGGAAAACGAACAATTCGTTCAAGTTCACTTTTACCAGTCAATAAGTTGAAGAAAAATCGCATCGCTGGTTGTATGAAGTATTTGTAAATGAAATGAAAGAAAGACGTGATAAATGATTCTGAGCGATAACCATAATTCGCTTGCTTTATATTCCACTTCGATGAATAATACATTATTGATAATCTGTCAAAGTACCGATTATTAGTGTGCCTGAAATGTAGAAAACAGATGTTCACACCATAATCATCGGTCAGTATTACCATCGTCAACGAAAGTCAACTCAGTCAAAGAATGACAATACAGTCCGCAATTGGCATTACTCGTACTGCTATGAACCATAAGGTATCTACGCCAACCTTCCAAACAGCTTAAAATGATTTGTATGTGATCACCCTATTCGAGCCCTTTAACGTATCGAACAATACGCATGATAAAATACCAACAGAAAGTTTGTTTCCAATCCTATGCACAAATGAAAAAGATCCACTTTACTATAATGGAATAAAAAATGTTAGTACAATTCATAAATTAGAAGCACGATGAATGCCATTAAGGCACGAGGATAGCAAATATGAAAATGTGATTCGAAACATTTTTTTGCAGATGAATGAATACACTGAACAGTAACAAGGTGTTTTATTTCGATAACTTGCAAAACCATCGATAACAACTTAAAACAATAAAGATTGATGAATACATGAAATAGCAATTTGATATTGCAACATCTGACTACGAAATAATTATAATCTATTGATCGGTTTAGTCGAATTATAATGTTCACCAAGATTGAAGGCGTATCGATGAAAAGTGATTGTTATTGGTGTCTTGGAGCTGAACTCGTCACCAAATTTAATGAGACGCCCTTCTGGCTGAATCACAATGATACTTCTTTCGAGAGCACTCGATAAGGCGCGTAACTTAACATTGGAAAAATGATTACTCGTTTCATTATTTCAATTTTAAAAATGAGAACTTAATTTGAATTACTGAAGATCATCAAAAAAGTATTACAATAAAGTCAATCTAACACTGACAACATATGAATGAGACGTAAGAAAACAGCTGAAGTGAATGAAATTTCAGGGTGTTAGCAGAGCATTCGCATCAGTGATCTCAAAAAGTACAATTGATAATTTCGAAATACTGGATATCGCATATCGATAACGAACGTGAAATTGTAATATGCGATCTCATGGTCACTATTGGCACTCTTGCAAACAACAATGGCGCTGAATATTTGATGCGAAAGTGAACATTCGCAAATAATAAGAAAACGTATCGCTGGCATCACATACAAAATGTGCCAGCACTTTTAATAGAAAGTTTATGACCAACTAAAACATAGAGTGTCAAGAATATTCACAAGTAGAATATGAAACATCTGCAGATCAAGATTTTTTTTGAATATCAAGATTTGAATCAAGATTTTTTTGAATATCAAGATTTGAATATTACTTTCAGACTGAACAATTCAAAACTGGTGGCAATTTATAGGAAAACAATTACGTTTCAAACAAAACACTTAAATAGATGTTGTTGACTAGAAGAGAGTGCCTGAAATTTATTCAATAATTGATGCCCTATTAATGGATCCGCCGATATAACGCAACATATTTAAGGTACCCCTTCCGATG